TTTAGAGAAACACCCACTATTTACATATTTTTTTTATTAAAGTAAGAACTCTTGGGGTTCGGTAGATGGCTCAGTTAATTGGGCGCTAACCTTGCAAGCACAAGGACCTGAGTTCGATTCCTGGAACCCACATAAAAAATTTCAAAACAAAACCTAACTGGGTATGATGGCACACGTTTGTAATGCAGGCACCGGGGAGAAGGAAACAGGTGGGTCCTTGCTGCCTGGATAGTCAGCTAGCCTAGCTCAGTTGTCAGTTTCCAGGTCAGTGAGCCCCTCTGCCTCAAAGAGAAAGGTGGACAGCACCTAAGAAACAACACCCAAGGCTATCCGCTGGACTCCACATGCACCTGCACACACATGTACACTCACACATATGTGAATACACACACACACAACCTTATGTGTCCCCTCAGAAATCAGTAGGCAAAACTGTGGCCTATCTTATGAGAGATCACAGTGGGAAACCCTGGCTCAGACCTCATAGCCTCTGGTTATGAGGAAGTAGGAGAGTACCAGTTCTGGTTACCAAAGTCCACACAGCATCACCACGAGACAGCTTTGATTAACCAATTAGGATGTGCACGGGAGAAAACAGTGAGTCTCGTGTTCATGAAAGTAACTGCACAGCACTTCCTACTGTAATACAGTGTGTGGAAGAACGTTTGCTTTAGAAAAGTGAAAACCTTGGAGTTCAGCGGGTGGTCTATCCAGTCCTCCTGAAGGTCTTCCTGCACTCCTGACTCCAGAGAAGGCTGCACAGAACCCCATCCCATACGCTGTAGGAACCTAAACACTTCCCAGGATTCCTGAAAATTTCCAGAGAGCATCTGGCCCTCAGCTCTCCCATCTGGGAATTAGTTGAGTTGATGGACCACATTACCACAGCCCATTTGCCTTCCTCCTCCCTTCTGCTTCTGCTCTGACAGCTCTCTCCTTGGTCCTCTCAGCCCTTGGTCCAGACTCAAGCTCCTCATAGTGTGTGCCTCTATCACAGCCCTGGATGGTGGTATGGAATAGGTTATACTAAACACCATAGATGCTCACTGTGAACAAAGCAGCTCACTGGAGCGCTTTTAAACACTGCTCTATACCCTTGTGTGGTGTGCACCCTTCTCTTACTGCACCCTCTTCCTGTACCCCTCTTCCTGCACCTCTATTCCTGCACATCTCTTCCTGAACCCCTCTTCCTGAACCCCTCTTCCTGCACCTCTCTTCCTGTACCTCTCTTCCTGCATCCCTTTTCCTCACCCCTCTTCCTGAACCCCTCTTCCTGTACCCCTCTGGCTGCACCCCTCTTCCTGCTCCTCTCTTCCTGTACCCCCTTCCTGCACCTCTCTTCCTGCACCTCTCTTCTTGCACCTCTCTCTCTGCACCCCTCTTCCTGCTCCTCTCTCCCTGCACCTCTCTTCCTGCACTTCTCTTTTCTTGCTTCTCATTTTTCTCTCCCAAAAGGTCCTCAATTGTTCATCAGAAGCCATACAGAGCAGCCAGCTCTCTGGAGTCCCTGCTGCCAAAAGCAATTCCAGGCAGGTCTCTATTATGCATCTTAAAAACAAATCAAAAGGACCTTTAATGTCATTGGACTTACATTTTTAGAAAACACTTGTTATTGTTAATAGCAACTTATTTTCCTCTCATGCATCTCTGTAAGCTCAGTTCCTTTCAACAGTCCATTCTAAGCCTCGAGCTTAGATAGGTGACAACATCTCTGTCTGTGTGTCAAGCCAGAGAGCAGTTTCCTCACTGGCTTCACCATGGCAAAGTAGACTTGCGCATGTCCAGGGTTCAGCTTTGGTACAGTGCCCAACCTTTTGATACTGTGACATAGCATTGTCATTTACGAAGGTCATCCTTGAGGCCCACATAATCAAGTCTCACACACATACACACACACACACACAATCTGTCCGTCTGTTTCTCTCTCTCTCTCTCTCTCTCTCTCTCTCTCTCTCTCTCTCTCTCTCTCTCTCTAAGCAAGTCTTATGATTTTATGTTGAGCCACATTCACAGCTGCCCTTGGCTGCACGTGGGCCTTGGGTTGGATACATCTACCTGTCTGGCCCGGTGTTCCAGGGATTCCTTCATCCGTCACCACACTCAGCAGCCTCGTTTTCCGAAGCCCATCTCCCCTGTGTTTCTTCCCATGCTCACCCCATGTTTGCCGAATGCAGCTGAGCACAGAGACCATAATGGATTCACTCGTGAATCTCTGGGTGGTATTTGGAGGTGGCTTTTTCCTCGTGTTTTATTTCACTGGCTGCTCTCGCAACTGTTGACAGGAGTAAGACAGTCTCTTTATTCGATCCCAACACCTCCTGGGAGGTAATACATTGTCCATAATATTGTCACCGGTTTCCTCAGCTCCATTTCCTCCACAAATTCATCTATTCAGCACAGTCATTGCCTGCTATGAGCTAAGAGGTGGGGACAGCTGTGGGCAAAGGCTCTTGTGCTCCTGGAGATTGTTTCTAGTAGGAGTAAGAGGTACTGAGATATTTTGGGGCTGAGCATTTTCAGGTGATACTAAAGCAGTGTGTTCCAGTTTCAGAACCAGGGTTGAAGGCTTTCTTTCCCACAAACAGAAATGAGGTTTCTTTTTACCTAATGCCAGTCCTCCGCTCTCCACATCTCCAGCTCTCCCCACCAGCCCACCTGTTCCTGCCACACTGTGATTGAGTGTGGGTATTCCAGTCTTCCACAGAACGCTTGTGTTGGTACTAAAAACTGTATGCCATGGCTTTTAAACTTTGAACCCTTAAACTTTGGTTTCCTCTTTGCTCAAGTTGAAAGGACCAGACCGTTCATGTGTTTGAAACGTGAGCAAACATCAGCTAGGGTACTGTGTCTTGTTCTAAACATAAACAGGAGATATCAGATGTCCCTCTCTAAGCCATGTGGATGGACTTTCCCCTTTCACATCCGTGGTGACAGTAGACCCACCTCCTGTGTGGCAGAGGCAAGAATAATTCAGCATTAATATAATAACAACAGGTTGTTTACAGGAGAAAAATGGGCAGAGAGATTTGCTTTCTACAGCCTTCTAGTGTCCCAATAAATGAGTGAAAACACACTCAAAATATCACCAGAAGCAGTTGATCCTGCTAGTTCTCTCCTGCGTTATTCGCCCTGTGAGATTTTAGTTCAGACATACCAGCTCAGAATAGAAAGGGGAAAAAGGCTGTTTCTCTAATCAAATACTTAGGCAATGTGAAGAATCTTCAATTATCTAATTTTATTGAAGGGATGGTTTCTATCCCATAGCCAGTGATGTGCAATCCTGTGATTGTTTTAAATCCCTTAGAAGAGATCTGACATTATGCTCTGCATTCTGTACAGCATGAAATCACCATGTATATTTCACCAAGAGAGATAACAAGAAGAATAGCCTCCGCGGTACGCAGTCATTTTATCCCAATACGCTGCAACATGGTTTTTGCCCTGGGGCAGAGAAGTAGGATTTTTTTTTCTCTACTTCAAAAGAAAGAAAAATTATCATCACTCTATCCAGAACCATTATAGACTTCAGAGACTTTGGCATGAAATATTCAGAAAGTTTATTTTAGAATTCAATATTTTAAAAGCCTGCTTTAAAACTATTACAGTGATTAGTGGCTTTCTTGCTTAGGCCAGTCTTTGCTTTTAAAAGCCCTGTGTTGTGGTTGATACCATTGTTTTCTGTAGAATGTCATTTGCATCAACCACTCCGAAGAAGGGAAGAAGGCCTTGTTTCAGGATGTCCCCAAGGGGACCTGGCACCATGCTCGTGCATCCCCTTGCAGATGTACTCTTCAGTAGGCTCCTCTTTTCCTGCTGGCACAGCCAATGAGCTGCTGCTGGCCGTTTTGTGTTTTGGGTGTGCTTTACCTTAATCACCTAGAAAGTGTGTCCCTCTCTGCTGCCCGTTCAGGGAGCAGAGCCACGTCTCAGAGGTTCTGAGGACAGAGGACACCCCCTCAGAGGCTTCCTGCACCCTTAGTCAAGGGCTCACATCTCCATCACTCCTCATAGGAATTTGAAAAGCTTAGTATGCGTGTTGTGAGGATTTAACAAGGATCTTCACCCATGAATGCGAGTGAAGCCAGGAAGGAACCACGGAATTGTGCTTAGCCACGCAGGAACTTCTCCCTGTGTGGTGTTGATTATATAGGGTGGCAATGGCAGGAGACGGTGGAACCCTGACTTCAGAGTTTCACAGGCCTCATTTGAGTTGGATTTTAGCTGCTGTCTATCAGTGTGATCTGTAGAAAACTTTCAGGCCTCTTTAAGGCTCAGTAGCTCTGTATGTAAACTGGGTCAACCCCAGAATTGGTGTTAAGATTCTACAGTCTTGGGGTATAAAGGCAGAGGTGGGCAAGACATCAAACTTTGTCACCATCACTGTTTGCTGCTAAAACAGTTTTCCCTTATTCATTCATGTCACATTTTTGTTACAGGATGTGTATATGAATGTGTATATATTATGTATATAAATGTCACATGTAAGAGATCACTAGAACAATAATTTTTTCCTACTTTTGTTTGAGACAGGTTCTCATATAGCCCACGCTAGCCTCAAACTCACTATGTAGATGAAGAAGACCCTGATCTTTTGATCCTCCTGCCTCCACCTCCCTAGTGATGGGATTATAGGTGTTGCACCTCTGTTCCCAGTTTTCTGCAGAGCAAGGGTGAAACTCAGGGCTCCGAACGTGTTCGTCAAACTCTGCCGCCCCAGCTGTAGCTTATTCCTCCCTTTCTTGAGTAACTTATGCATTTAGATCCATCCCTCAGAAGCATTCCGTTGTGCTTCTGTGGATTTTCATAAATACACCATCTTTCCTCCATACTTTAGGTGTTAGTGGTGCAGGAAAGGGAAGCACAGGCATCAGCCTGGGTCTTCTGATAGCGTTGGCTCCTCCCTCGTGCCGATATGTAGAGAAGGGAAGGTTCCAGAATGCTCTTGATATGGAGGTGCTGACAGGAATAATATGTGAATTACTTTCCATGTCATTTTCCAGGGAAGCAGATCAAGACTCAGACGGTCACGTCAGCTTCCGAGACTTTGAGTATGCCATGAACTATGGACAGGCAAAATGAAGCTGGACGCTTGTGGACTACCTTGGGCAATGCCGGACAGACCAGTGAATTGTAATCTAGGTGAAGGCCACACAGACCTCACTCTTTTGCCGTGCTATCTGCTTATGAGTAAGCTCTTCGTCACAGTTTTTGAATGCTGATATTGGACCTAGAGGTAGGAATCTCTTTCCATGTGTCTAAGAGCCCTGAGTCCGGCTGCTGTTGCTGGCCCCTCCACCCAGTGTTTTTATCCTGTGAGCTCTCCATTCTTCAGACTGTGAATTCCACTCCTTGCCTGCTTGGGTCCCTAGCTCTTATCGGCTCTGGGGAGGGTTAGCTTTGATCTGCTAGTGGTGTCATCGTCCTTCATTTGCTCAACTTTGGTTGAATGTCAAGCTTACTGCCATCCAAGCAATGCGCAAACACTAGGAAAACAAAGGCTTCTCTTATAAAGTCCCTGAAGCGCAACTCTGGCGGAGCACTCACTGGGTGTGCAGAACACAGCAATCGGCTCAGACCAGGCGGCCAGCCATTATTTATACAGAGAAAACCAGAATGCAACTTGGGTCTTAATGAGCAAAAGGGTGTGATTTTGGGGTTCCTTTGAATAACCTGAACCTGGGCTTCCTGCTTTGGAGACACTCGTCTGAGCTGGCCAACAGCCCTCTGCTGCATTCTGGTTCAAGGAAGTCTGGCTGTACACTTGAAGTTCAACCATCCCAAAGTTAGGAGTCTCCACACCCTACCACATCCCTGGGATCCAGTGACTACTTTCCTGGAGCAAATTGAGACACTGAGCATATAGCATAGCATCTATTAAAAATAATTCTTAAATACTGATCTTGCCATTGTAAGTGTTCAGATTTTACAACATTAACATTTCTAAAAGAAATTAATGTAATTTGTTTTTAAAGTGCTAAACATTAAAAGATAAAGTAAAATTATAAATTTGTGTAGCAAGCATTAAGCAAGCTTCATGCTCACATAAATTATTAGCAGATAGCCTTAAGAGAAATAAAGGTTTAGCTGTGATAAACCAGAGAAACCTAAGAATATGGGATGACTAAATGTGATTTGTTCCCCTAGATGGGCCTCTAGGAACATACAGTAGAGATGAGCAGAGCTCGGGCTTTCTCTGCTGCTTCTAACAGTGTGGAGACTAGGTGAGGGGCATATAGGAGCACCACCGTTTCCATGATTCTTCTGTAAATCTAAAATTATCCCAAAACAGAGTTTGTTAAAAATTAAAGGCTTGTTCAAACATTCATAAACTAAATGAAGAAGCAATGAAAATCTTTTCTCAACACGAATGAAATATTACTTCAAAGACAGAAATGGTTGTTGGTATCATTGAGATGTGTGTATGATTTTGTTCACAGTGTTCCAGTTTGACTTTGCTCAGCAAGTGTTCCCATTATAGTAGACAGACTGAGTCATTAATCTTGGTCTCAAAACATAAAAGAGATACTTTAGATTTCTTAACTATAAAATAAACAAACCAAAAAAAAACCCACAAATAGTATTTATTGACAGAGCCATTCTTTCAGTAATGGCCAGAGTCCCAAAACTTCTGTTTGGCACTCCTATCTGTCATCTGTCTCTCCTGAGAAAGATGACAAGGGAAAAGGAGGAGTCACTTCCATGGATGTAGGAAGCAGGTGGTGAGTCTGGGAATGTCTACTGAGCAACTCCCATGACTCTAGGTTAGCCAAGACATTTTATCTCAATGACAGAAAACTACTCAATGAACACAAAAATAAATAAATAAATAAAGTAAAATAGTATCTTCCCTCTGCATTAAAATTCCTGTATGAGAAATTCTGGAAAGCAATATGAATAGAATACAACTAAGATTTGGATCCAAAAGAGAAAAAAAAGAATTTACTTTGAAAAAGGAAAAAGAAAAGAAATCACTGAATTAACTTTCTGAGACCTAAGAGAAGGAGGTAGGGGTGCAGCTAGGCCTCAGGATCTACACTAGCACCTCCAGATTCCCCCCTTCTTCCTGTAGTTACCAACAACATTTCACCATCCTCAAAGAACTGGTCCATGATCCATCCAGATCCAAGCTCAGAGCATCTACAGATAGGCTCTGGTTGACCACACTCAACTCTGGTTCGTCCAGAGGGTATGGGCAAGTCCCCTGTGGGTACTCAAGTGCATGCGGCCAGGGCTGGCCATAGAGGAAGATAACCTAGGCAGCCTTTCTGGTTGGGACCTCTTCTAAGACGATCCACATCCCTGAGTTTGCTACTCAGGAGCATCGAGGTTCTCTGAGGAAAGAACAAAGAAAGGGTGACAGACAAGCTGCCGTTACCCCTCGCTTTTAGGATTCATCCTCTTCCTTGTCTGGGAGGAGCTTTCCCCATCCTCTCTCTTCCAGATCCCAGCCCCAACACCACTGCCTGTGCAGTATGACCTTGCTGGTCTGATCCCCGCTGGGTGAACTAACGTAGGCATCTGCTCAAGCTGACGAACTCAGTCTCAGCTCTCGGAGGACATCGAGACTATAACTGCAGTTATGTTCCTCTGTGTGCCTGAGCAAGGGACATGACTCAAGAGTAGGGAGCAGCCATGTTTTCAGTCACGTGGCCTGGAAAATCGGAGCAGCTGGTTTGCAGTGAGCAGAGAGGGGCTTAAAAATAGACAGCGGAGGGAGCAGTAAGAGAGGAGCAGCCCTGCAGTGCTTGGTTTCTGGTTAGAGCTTATGTGCGAGACTCAGTCACAGCCCTTGGGTCCTGTGAGGTAACTGCATCCTTCCAATAAATCTTTCCGCTCAAGCCAGCTGGAGTGACTTTCTGTTATTTGAAACCCAGTGAGCCTTCACTTTTGTGAGCTTCCAGCCAAGGACAGAGTCCTGAGTGAGATTAGCATTTGTAGGGCAGCAGAAACAAAAAGCAGCAGTTGAAGGTGGGATGGATAGTCCCGTCATTCCCATCCCAGCCTTCCTGTGAGCCCCTCGCTGGCTCAGCGCCGGGTTTCCCTGCTACTGCAGCTTTCAGAGCAGTTGCCCACGAACCACGACAGCACCAGTTCCTCTCAGACCTCAGCTCAGGTCCCTTCTCTTGGGTCTGAGGTAGTGGCACAGCCTTTGGACAGGTTCATTGTGGTATTTCTGTACTGTTTTTTCCAGTTGCCTGTCCCAGAACCAGTCTATAAGGGAGAGGGTTTTCCCATGTCCTTAGCTGGCCAATCGTTCTTCATCAACATTCCCCGAGGATGATTCCATCCACTGCCAGGAGCCCAGCTATCGCCTTGATTGATACGACTCCATAAACAAGGCTTTATCTTTGATCGTGACCTCTGCTCAACTCCAAGCCTGGTTTCCCTCCCTTGTCAGACGTTCCCCATCTCGGTGCAGACTCGCTGAACTAAAATCAGATGCATTGTTCCCCCAATTTTCAAAATTGTTCTCCTAGCCTGTGTTTTCTATTTCTGTTGATGACAGCCTCCCTGCCCATCCCCCACCCAAGCTGTCATCCAAGCCAGCTGCCTCAGAGTCTCCCCTTCTCCCCATCTTGCTTGGCTCTAACAGTCAGTCACCAGATCCTTTGGAGCATGTCCTTGTAAATCCTTCCTGGTTTATTTTTGTTGTTGTGTTTGTTGTTTTTTTTTTTTTTCCATTCCATCCTGATCTTTCTGCCCAGGTCCTTAATCCTGGCCAGTTCTTCCATCCAGTGACGTGTTCCTTTACTTCTTCATGTAGAGATGAGCGCAAGGTACACAAATACTGCTGTCAAGGAATTTTCATCTGGCATGTCAGGGACATTCCTTAAGCACAAACAAAATGACTTTCTTCTACTCAGGCTCTCTGTTCTGTTGGACAGTGCCTAACCCTGTTGAAAATGCCCACTCAAAGCACTTTATGTTTTCAGTATTGTTGTCCATGATTCCCCCTGCCATGTCACCCAGCAATCACAGAGACACAAGCACAGTCCCATCACCTAAAAATACAAAAATGGCAGCAAATCTTTACTCAAAGTAGAACAGTAATAATCTCAGGATTAATATCTGATGAGATAATAAGAAAGTGAAACAATGAAAAAATAAAACTTAGGGCCTTGGAAGATAGCTCCGTCTGTGCCCACAAGCATGAGGACCCAAGTTCGATCCCCGGAACGTACCCTAGAAAGCCAAGTGTGCTGGTATATAATCCCAGCACCAAAGAGACAGGATGATTCCCCAGAGCTTACTGGCCAGCCAGCCTAGTCTAACCACTGAACTCAAGGAAAGATTGAGCCTGTCTCAGAAAACAATGGATGTTTCCTGAGGAGCAAGACTAGAAGTTGACCTCTGGCTTCTATGGCCCCCACACATGTGCACACATACCTATATGTACACATTCACAAATGCACTTATATGTACCCCCAAAAAAGTAAGAAAGAAAAGAAAACAGCCCAGGTATGGTGGCACAAGTCTTTAATGCAACATTTGGGAAGAAAAGCAGAATTGCTTCTTACTTGAATCTAGTATGGTCAGCATACTAAATTCCAGGCCAGCCTGGGCTTCTTAGGGAGAGTCTGTCTCAATAAATAAATGAATAAATAAATAAATTTCATTTTAAAAAAACATTGAAAAGTTGAGTGTGGTGGTCCATACTTGTCATCTCAACACTTGAGAGATACAGTCAGGAGGACCACCTGTTCAAGACCAGTTACATAGCTGAGCTAAAGCTAAACAAGGCTACATGAGACCCTGTTAAAAAAAAAAAAAAAGGAAAAATAAACACTAACTATTGGTTCCTACATCCTAACAAACATTTGTTTCTTTAGTTGTCTTTTTATGAGACTAATGCTGGGTATTTTATTTTATTTCTAAAATTGTTAAAATAAATACCAGCCCCCTCCCCACTGCTCCCTCTAGTAAATGAGGAAGCAGTCTCAGGAAGCAGCTCAGGCCAAGTTATAGGGGTACGTGGAGAGAGTAAAGGTAAGGTAAGTATTCCAGCTGATCAGCTTACAACAGACAAACTATCTCACTTGGCCGTAACAGAAGCCCATAGTCTATAGAAACACTTCGTTTGCAACCCAAATGAGGTGACCCAGGTTCATTCATTCAAGGGTTTCACATGGAAGGTGTTCAGAATCAGTTCCCATCTTATGTACCACCAAAGAAGTAGCCAGAGTTACAATCGATTAATAACCAAACTCAGCTATAGAGACCAAAGATGGAAGGTACTCTAGACCCTGGAGCCATTATTCAAAAAGGAAAGTTCTAGAAATGCTCTGTACAACAGAAGCATTTTCGCATGGGTATGCATTCCCGCTAAGCAACACTTCTCTGGCGTATAAAGTATAAATAATACATATCCCCAGTCATTGTACTTGGTATTCATGGTATAATTCATAATCTAAGATTAATAAAAATGAGCTTTGTTACTTTTCTTGACTTCTAACTTTTGAAAAATTTGACAATATGGAATTAGACAATCTCTTGATGCACACACGCAGATTGAAATTCAGAGCTTAGTGAAAGTGATCAGTGAGTAGAATGCTTTCCATGCAAGCATGAAGCCCTGAGTTCAGTCCCTAGGACCTGTGTGAAAAGCCAGTGTGGCGATGTGTACCTGTAACCTCAACACTGTGGAGAGGGAGTCAAGAACATCCCAGGGCTTGCTGGCCAGCTACTCCAGCAAGGTCTGTTGTGAGCATTGGGTTCAGTAAGAGATACTGCCTCAAAAAATAAGGTATGGAGCAATTGAGAAAGCACCTGATGTCTACCTCTGGCCTCTACACACACACACACACACACACACACCTGCACATATATGTAACCACACATATGGACATGAGCACATGCATAAAATAAATAAGGAAAAATGATAATTTCTTTTAAAAGAAATCCATTGTCATTAAGTAGCTTATAGTGACTTTTCTTTTGTAAAACAAATTTAGCTTGGGTTGGCTATGAGGATTGAAAATAGCCCATAAACAATCTAACACAATAAAATATAGTATCTAATCTGAATTCTCTTGTTAAATTGATAAAGTAGTTAGAAACATGAATAAAAGAGAACATTGTTCTAACTTCGGAGAAAAGTACAGATTAGTCTGTATGAAAACATGGGCTAAAATTGAAATACAGCTCCTACTTTATGATTTACCAATTCTTAAAGACTCAACTGAGAGCAAAACAGTTAAGCTTTCTAAAATATATCACTTCAAAAGGAGCCATTCCAATAATATTGAATTTATAGAAAAAAAAAAAGACCAAGGGAGTGGAAATATATTAAACATATTGTCATAGCAACAGTCATTGGGAGGCAGAAGTTGGGTCTGGGCATCTTTCTTATTTTGAATAAGAAAGGCAAGCTTGATTTCGAATGACTTTTCTAAGGTCAGATGTCTTAGAGATGGTACTTGAGTCAATTTCTTTAACAAGCTTTCCCTATTGCCACTGACTGGTATTGGACTCCTCCCTTCCTCTCTCTCTTTCTTTCTCTCCTTCCCTCCCTCCTTCCCTTCCTCCCTTTCTCTTCCTTCCTGTTCTCTCTATCACAGCCATAAATAGAATTGCATTCATTGGGCCACTTAAGATTCAGCCTGACCATGTCTTAGCTAATACCCAGACACATATCAGCAGAATTTCTTCTTTGTACCAACAGAAAACGGGGCTCTTTATGCTTTTCATCACATGGAAACCTCTTGGCCATTATCTCTGCAGAAGTTCTTTCACTGCCCAGTCTTAAAGACAGTGTCCTATCAGACTCCAGTTGCACAAGCTCTGTGTGGGTGGCTTATCTAACATGTCTCTTGTTCTCTATTCTCTCCTCTTCTTGTGCATGTTCTTTCCCCCTTCTCTCTCTATTTTAGTTGATTACTATCTAGTCCATTCAATGCCAAGAGTGAATGCAAAATGGCATAGCCCTTTTGGAAGACAGTCTCAGAAAACTGAACATGGGCTTATCACATGACCCAGAGATCAAGCTCCCAGATAGTTTACCAGCTGATTTGAGAACGCATGCCCATACAGAATATTTATAGCAGCTTCATTCATAATTCTTAAAAAAAAAACAGAAATAACCAAGATGAGCCTTCTAAGAACTGAGTGGGTAGTCTGTAAGTACCTGTACCATCCTCTTCGAAACTGTCAAGGTCATCCAAAGTAAGGAAGCCTGAGAAAACTCCAGCGTTGTCTAAGAAACCCCTAGAGCTGCATAAGAAGCCATGGTGACCAAATATGACCGGCTGAATGGAATTCTGGGACAGAAAGGAGCCATGAGATGAAAACACAGGGAAGCTGAACAAAGTATGGGCTTTAGTTAGTCAGAATGTACCTGTCAGAGTTCACTGATTGCAGCAAGCACCTGTTCTAAAGCCAGAAGCACAATGTCAGGGACACAGGAACTGCCCATACTGTCTTTGTAGTTTTTCTGTAAGTATAAAGCTGTTCTCAAAGTAAGTAAATTTGTTAACAGCTCAGATCTTGATATGTGGTAGGCATCAGATCCCTTGCCACTATTTAACTTTACAGTAAGAATATTAATAAAGTATGTAAAGGTGGTATATAACAACTCAAAATAACATTAAAGGATATATTCGCAAAACCAAGCAAAACTGGCAGGGGCTGATGAGATGGCTCAGTGGGCAAAAGCACTTGCCATACAAAGTGGAAGGAAAGAACCAGGTCTCCAAAAGTTGTCTTCTGACCTCTACACGAGTGCCATGACACACATGCACATATGCACACGCACACACACACCCCTACACCCTACATCATACACATACATGATAATAATAATAAAAACGTTAGACAACCACTATGGCAATTTTATAGGCCTCTGTGTGGGACTTGCTAAGGCCAAACTTGTGGGCTCAGATCTTTGGTGTAGAGAAGTATGTTCTCAGCCTGTTGTGTGATTTCGATTGGTCTCTGACAAAGAAGAGACTGTGTGTATTTTAAAGTACCTACTTCGGATTACAGTTGCAGATTACTGAAGAAACAGAAAGTCCCCACCACTCTATCTTATACTCCCAACATACATTTCAAGGACAGTGTTGAGAAAGCCATAATGAGCAAGACACCCATATGATATAATTCCTAGATAGCCTTGGGGGCAGGTCAGAAAGGCACGTTCACAATAGACCACCCCAGCTTACCACTGTTCTGCCTGCGCACCTAGTAACGCCTTAGCTTGTGCCAGAGTTACAGCCTCGAAACCCAGCATAGCCATGGAAGATAGCTATAGAACAAGTTGTCTCACAGAGCTAATTTGTCTTTCATGGAAAGTGGGGGGTGGGGAGGTATGGGTGTGTGGTGTAAATGTGGTTTTTTTTTCTGTGCAGGTATACATGCGCTTGTGTGTGTTTGCAAGTCAGAGATCAGTTGGGTGTCTTCCCCAGTCTCTCTTCACCTTAGTTTTTGAGTCAGGGCTCTAGCTGCACCTGAAGCTTGCCTGTTCAGCTAGACTGACTGCCAGTGAGCCCCAGGTCTTTTGTCTCTTCCTTCTGAGCACTGGGATCGCAAGCATGCACCAGGTCCAGCTTGTTCATGGATGCTGGGGATGGAGCTTATGTCCTTGTACTGCAAGCAGAGTAATCAGTATTGGCAGATTGCTCGGCCACAAACAGGGCATCTATCTCACAGCCCATCCCCAGAGGCTCAGGGACCATCACAGAGCAAGGGGCAGAAAGATGGTAAGGGCGGGGATACAGGAGGACACGAATGGAATAGTGACTTCTGGACTTGCTAGGCCTAGCCTTGCTCATAAACCCAGAGGAGCTGCAGTTACCTGCAGCAGCCCTGCTCCTACACCCTCCAGCCATTATTTCCACATGGAGGGGCTTACAGCACCCATTCATAGCTGAGGAGCTATTGACATTTGATGACTTTAGAGAAAACCCAGTTTTCTTTAAAGACGCGGCCTCTTTTTTGTCCACCACACTCCGGTGGGTGACTCCACCCCTATGAGCATATGGGTAGCTTATACTAGACTCAATGGGTTATATCTTCGTTTAAAAAGATGTGAACTTGGGAAGGGGTAGGAGATGAAGACGGGATCTGAGGGGAGTTGGGTGGAAGAGTTGGGGTTGATATGTTCAAAATACATATTGTATGCATGTATGAAATTCTCAAAGAAATAATAAAATATATTCAAAAATAAATGTCAGTTCCTTATTGTATAGCCATATAGCACAACTATCACTTTCAGTGTCCAATAGGAGCCACTGTGGCTCGTAGCTTCCATATGGAACACTGAAGAACAGAACATCATCATCGTTGCTGCAAGCTTTGTCCACCACCCTATCCTGGACAGTTCCATCGCGTGCGGACAGCTAATCTTTCATATGGCTGCTCTGGGATCCTCTGTCCATCCTGGTTCAGTCATCCCCCACAGCTCTTTTCCCAGTATGATGAACCATGCAAATGTTGCCCCATCCCAAGACACTGTGTGAGCTCCTTAGAAGGGGACTGAGAGGGGTGAACACCTGCAGTAGACTTCCTGGTCATTCTTCTTCCTCTCTTTCTGCTACAACAGACCCCTGAGCCTGGCTCTTTCACACAGAATGGAGACTTACCTACAATAGATCTGAAGGTTGGGAGTCCAAGGTCAGAGACTGGCTTTATTGCTGTGTTGTTTTATCCAAGTGGGCAAGAGGAGGAGAGTGAATGATCGAGTCTGAACTCACCCTCTGTTCACGAGCCCACTTTCCTTTCCATTAGTCCGCTCATGAAAACAGAGCCATCATGGACCACTCACCTCTTAAAGGTGACTCTTAAAGGGTGTCACAGTGGCACTTAAATTTCAACATTAATTCTGCAGGTAACAAGCGTTAAAGTCATACCTCCTCTCAAAAGACAACCTTCCTAACTGCTTTAGAGGGCAGTCACTGCCTCAGAACTTCAGCGTTCTCTTTGTCTTGGAGTGATTGGTACACTGCCCTGTCTGTCAGCTGAAGGCCGGGAAGTATACACCTGCACCACAGCTGATCTAGGCACGAGCCTTGGGGTACAGATGACGCGGAGGGAAACTGTTAGTAGGCCATGTCATTTGGAGCTCAGAACTGGTCTCAATTTCTTGTGTTCTTCAGCAAGACCACCCCTTTCCTTGTGCCTCAGTTTCCTCTTCTTCATCAATTCAAGGAAGAAGACTGGCTCTCGGCTTTTTGTCTGACTCCCTTCAAACTGCTAGCAAAATGGCTGTACTGGGGGTTTAAATAGCATCCTTTTCTTAAAGTTATGGAGACTAGAGAGTATAAAATCAATGTTCCTTCAGTTGTGGTATCTTGGGAAGGCTTGCTCTTCAGCTCATAGAGGAATTTCTAACTATGTCTTTGTAGAAGGGGCAAGAGAGCTAGCTCTTGGGTCTGCGTGGGGACTAGCCCCATTTGTGAGGGCTCCACTCCAGCAATCTCAGCACCACCAAATGGTAAACATTAGACATGCTAATGGACTAAGCCTCTGAAACTGTAAGCAAACCCCAAATTAAATGCTTTCTTTTACGAGTTGCCTTGGTCATTGTGTCTCTTCATAGCAATAGAACAGTGACCAAGACATTGGATTTTAACTTAGGAATTCATAGAATTTTAAAATGAGCAAATCTATTATGGCACTCCAAAAATGGGAGTAAAATATACAGAGCTTGTAGGACTTACCTGAAGTGCCAGGACCCAGGAATGGGGGGGGGGGGGGGACGAGATGACGACTCAACCTTGAGCACTGGCCAGTTCGCTGCCTGCAGGATCGTCCAGTCTATGTTTTAATGATTTGGATGCAGTATTCCTGACACAGGCCGTGGTGTAACTGAGCTCGCAGAACCACACACTTGACACTCCCTCACTTTCCTCTACTCCCGCCCCACCCACAAGAAGAAACCTGGAACAACTCTGCTTAAAATGCTGCTCACAGGGACAGGGTCCAGGCACATTTACCTTTGCCCTCCAATAATGGAGTTACATCACTGCCAACCTAAAGAGCCGCTGCTTTGAAAATCAAAATGTACAAAAAGAATTCTTTTTACTTTAATTCGAAATTGATTTTTTCCCAGCTCTTCTATGTTTCTTTCATGATATCATGGGTGTCGTCCTTGTTTAATATAGCTCACTGGAGCCATAACAATATACCAGGCTTTTACACACACGGATTCTTAAAGCGGCAGCAGATTATTAATGCTATGTTAATAAGGAACCAATCATGAGATATTACACAGAGTTCTTATTCCATACATTATTAATGAAGGCCTATTGTGTTTTGGTGGGTCTGACGCTGCGATGCGGTTGCCGAAGAGATTGGAAAATGCTTTTGCCTTCTCAGCAGAAAGCCTCCAGATCAGGGTGCGTGAGGAGAAAATATTTGCAACAGGTAACAAAAACAGCCGTGAGGCCTTGTGAGGGAAGAGGCGGTAAACATATTTTAATCTGAAGTACCAGGAATAGCAATGCTCTCGCTATAAAGAGAAAAACCAATCTTGCTAGTCGCTGCTTTGGAATAAATAAAGGAAGAGGTCCCGGCATCCTTCCCGGCTGACTTCTGGGATGCGGGGAATTAGCACATGCATCGAAGCCACTAGCATTGATGTTAAAGTCCCCTGCTCTCTCCAGCCCTTCCCAGACTCTGCTGCATTTTACTCCGGAGGCCTCGGGAAGAAGATGCACAAACAATGTCTCTGGAGAAGGACTAGGACTAGGGCTGTTACTGGCAAGAAGCAGGCTGACCCTGAGCCCACCCCACTAGTGGAGACCCCTGGCCTTTCCTGGACTGGGCTTGGGGAAACACTGAAGTCTCTGGCTGATCCTGGAGAGCTTTGACTACTTCTTGTATTGAAGATAGGGGCCTCTCTGGCGTGCTGGTTTCCTAGAAAGATGTCAGTCATGACAGATGGGACACGGGAATAATGGTGTGGACATGCCTCTCTGTGACACCAAGCCTCTCAAGCAGAGTTGGCTATAGTCGCACGTTGATCTAAAAGGTCACTTTGTTCTTCATAAGGTAAGTGCCACCAGGGAAATGGGGCCTGTGAACAGTCAAGTCCCTTTCCTATCCACCCTCTGACATGCGTCCCCCAACCCAGTGGCCAGCTTGTACTACCCTCAGTGACAGAGTGTCTCTCTAAACCGCCATAGGAAGCTGGCCGCCTCTGTCCTCAGCCATTGTTCTTTCAAAGAGCCTGGGTGTCATGTTTACCTCCTTGGGGTGCCAGTCCAACCTGTAGAATAAGCAAGAGGTCCAGGAAGAAGAGTCTTGCAACCCAGGGGTACCCAGCTCCAACACGGATATGTCACCTGGGCTCCAGGCGCCAGACACGTGAGAAATTTAAAAAGTGCAACACCATTTTCTCATCTCTTTTCATTCAGAAGATGGAAGAAATGATACTGAGTTGAATTAGCCAGAAACGATACACTGTAGCCTTAACCTAAGCCAGAGTTCAATAGAGCCGTGATTCAAATGCCAACGTTATCTCCAGCCTTAGTTTTCAGGGATTTTTGTTTGTTTGTCTCTGCAGCAGCAGTCAGGAGGGTGACTCAAAGCTGATTCATTCCGGGGTTTTTCTTTTGGAAATGAACATGCTGGCACGGCTTTAATTGGGTTTTAGTTGTTGTCTGAATTCTCACGGCGATGGCTCCACTCTGTCTTTGGGGAACGCGGAGGGACCTGGCATCTGGTGTTTGAGGATTCTGGGGAGTTACAGCATATTTATGTGTAATAACTATACAGTAAATAAACAGAATGAATAATTAAGTGAATAATGAGCTCCTCGGAAAGGAGGCGTCCTCTGAAGACTGCGGCAGGAACCTCCCAGGTCCTCCGGCTCCCTTCCGGGACGCGTGTCTCCAGCGCTCTCGCCATGTCTGCACCCACGGTAACCAGCAAGGACGTCTTCCAGCCTGACATCAAGAACGCGGTTAATCAGACGAGGACAGTTCTCCTGCTTGTGTTCTCTTCCAACCGCAGTAATGTTGCATTTATAGGTCTAGGGATAATTTTTTTTCTTAGCCCTAGAGATACATACTTCACTCTTTAAAAATAAAATCTGTGAGATTAAATTTCAGCGAATAGCGTTTCTCTGAGGAACTAGAAACTTGGACTTCTAGACATTTGTAGTGTTTAGTGAATGACACAAATTCCCACGGATGCCTGCACCAGCCAGTACAGAGTGCCCTAGCTTCTGGATGCAACTCAGGCCTACAGTGAGTCTTCTCAGAGGGAAAACCCATAAGTGCTACTTGCTCATCCGTTTCCTCAAATGGTTTTACCTGTCTGCATATCCACTGGAGGGATATTTACAGAGCGCCAACTTCTTTGGTATCAGGAACTCATACCACACTCTGGGGACACCTGGCTGGGTGAAACCAGTTCCAGACAGCTGCTGCCCTCTCACGGCTCACCTTCTCAGGGATCTAGCCGCTAGAATAAAGGAGACTGTGATGGCCACGGGCTTCTGTGGAGGAGAGAGTCTTAGGTGAGGCACCTGGCACTGCCTCACACAGTTAAGATGTATTTCCTACAGTCCTGGAAAGCAGGAAACCCATGTTAGAAGGGCAGCGGTCTTCTCTTCCTCTGGAGCTCTTCTGTCGACTTGCAGGTGGTCCTCTTCCTGAAGTGTCAGCAGGCATGTGCGCACCTACAATGTGGTGGCGCAGGAGCGTCCTGCAGAGAACCTGAGGGCAGGAGAGAAAAGAGCAGGCTTGCAAGATCTGTGCCAGCAACTGATCAGCTAGAGCACGGCACTGAGACACAAGAGTTAGAGATGGATTGGCTATGAGAGCTAGGGATGTATTTAATGTGTGTTGGGCACTGGTTGAGGAAGGAAATGATAAATTATTTGGATTTTTGGCTTCTGTAACTGAGCAAATGAAGGCCTAGTCAGTGAGCCAACCACAGCAGCGCTGACTCGTGTGTGACTTGATCACATTGGAAGCCACTAAAGTCACTACCTTGTTACCATTAAAATTACATGGTTTGGGGGCTAAAGAGATGGATCAGCAGTGAAGACCACTGACTACTCTTCCAGAGGATCCAGGTTCAATCCCAGTACCTATATAGTGGCTTGCAA